ATCGGTCGGAACGGATGCAAATATGTGTAAGACAGTCGACAATGTGTCTTAAGTAATCGCAGACATTTATTGCCTAACTTTCAGGGGCCAAAACCCTGAAATTTTCAAGGAAACACGCCGTATATCAACAATTTTCACCTATACGTTTTCGGGGTCGCTGAGTTTGATTTCGGACGTACAAAATCGTTGTGACCAGACACAGTATGTGTGTGTGTGTGTGTGTGTGTGTGTGTGTGTGCGCGCGCGCGCGCGTTTACCGTTTGCCTTTGGTCCACAAGAAGTCTGTAGTAGGTTTTAAAAATCCGAATAAACACTACAAAATGACAAACACATGTGCACTTGTGCGCAAGTGTTTTGCTAGAAAATTGCTATAATTAAACCAGATTTTTCATAGGCCAATGAGGGTTTGTTTATGGTGTTTAGCGGTCATACTGAATGAAATTTTACCATGACCCGAAAAATCGGTGTCGAGCTGCTTTGCGCTGCGCTCGGTCGAATTGACCTGGAACCTCCCTCTGGTCTTCGGATAGGTGTGGCGCGCAAACATACATACACACAAATACATGCAAAATGCCCCCCCCCCCCTCCCCCCCACACACACACAAGTAAGATGTGCAAAAATAAAACATAGCACCTCTATTCTAAAGTGAAGCATGATATTCTGTTCTGATGTTCGGCAATGTGCGATTGCGCGCGCGCGCGCGCGCGCGCGCGCACACACACACACACACACACACATACTGTGTCTGCTCACACCGATTTTATACGCAGGAAATCGAACTCAGCGACCCCGAAAACATATAGGTAAAATTTCTTGATATACGGCGTGTTTCCTTGAAATTTTCAGGTTTTCGGCCCCTGAAAGTTAGGCAATTAATGCCTGCGGTTACTCAAGACACATTGTCGACTGTCTTACACATATTTGCATCCGTTCCGACCGATATGGTTCCCAACAAACACTTCAAAATGCTTCTATACGCGCTTTTGATAATTTGCCCCTGTTAGGTAGGCAACCCCCCGTTTGCCGGATCCAGTCACGGGGTAGAGTTGGGCAACACTTCTTAAAAGTGACCTCTAGGTACCTACTAACTGCCCCTAAGACGGTTTTGCTCTACATCGAAACGCAAGGTTGGATGGCTTAACAGGCGTACTAACGAGAGCGGTTGCATAAGCCCGCTTTAATGCTTTTTTAAAAGCAGAAGGGCGGGCTAAAAAACAGCAGCCTATGTTAAACACTCTATTTTACTACAGTTGTGTGTCTAGCACGCTACATCTATCAAGGTTCTATTGAGCCGAGCACTGTGAAAAATAGAAGTAATTACAAGAAGAAGAGAGCGCTGCAGAGCGCGCGGCAAAAGGACATCGGACAACGTTACAGCGTCGCCGGGAGATCGGTCGACGTTAGAGCGTCGCGGGGAGATCGGACGACGTTAATAGAGGACGTGTCTCGAAGCAGACGATTGGGAAGAAGAACAAGAAGACCGGATCTGGTATGAGAAATTGCTGCTTTTGAGCGTCCGCGGCGCCGATCCGCCATATTGTTTCCATAGCCGGCGTAAACAAGTGTCGGGAAGGAATAAAAACATCAATCTGCGTTATTTAGAGTATGCCAAAGGACTAAATTAACAAAATGTGACATTATTATCTTGTGCGATGCCTCAAAACTCGTATTTACGGTAGTTTCGCGTCGCGTCAACCTGTCGTGTCGTTTGAAATACGGCTGTCGCCTGTGGTGATTTCGCCTCAGGACAGTTCATAGCTTTTCAAACAAAAATAATACTTTTGACAGACAAATTTCGTAATTTTGATGGTTCGTTTGTTTTTATTTTGTATTATTTTTGTATGATATCTCAAAGCTTTGTCCTGTCTGTAGGTTATGTGACATCCTCTGTGAAAAGCAAGTCGATGTGAGTCTGCCCAAGCAGTACATATTCTGATGTTAGCATTAATAACTCACCAGAAAATTATCATTATTAAATGCCTTCATTTTCAGATGTCTGAAGATGTTCAATGGGATGGGTTGCCGCACAGACACAGTGCTCTCGCTCCGTTAGAAGATAGTGCCCTCAACTCATGTCTGCACCTTCTATTTCATGTGCCAAAGTTTGTGAAATTACTAAAAGAGAGCCCTCACTCATGTGACAATGACAGTAGTGATTGTACGTTTTGCCTCTTATTGCTAATTTGGGATGCCTACGAGCATGGCATCATTAATGCTGATCTGAACTCTGGTAAGACGAACACCATGGACATTTGTGAAGTAAAGTGTGCATCGTACTTCTGTCATAATAATAATTTTTAATTTTTTCAGTGCTGTCTGAGATTTTGCCCGGATCCCAAATTTTTGAAACAATCATGACACTGATATCATTAGTTCATCATGACCTTGCACATGAAGAGAAGTAAGTGTTTTGTTTTCTATTACATTTTCTGCAAATATTTTCTTAAAACATATTCTTTGAATCTTGTGAAATTGCAGCGAGGATGACTCACCTATTGTTCGAATGTTTGGGGGTGAGCTGATAACTGAAAGTGAGTTAAGACAAATGTATTTGTTATGGTAGACATTGGTAATCACTTTGATAGTTGAATGTTTTATCTGCAGGTGCATGTCTTAAATGTATGGCTGTATCATGCAAGAAAGAGCAAAGAGCAAAGAGCAACAGCTCCCCATTAATCATAGTAATGTTCAGTGGGGCATTAAAAACGTTATTGGTGGCAAAAAAACAGTATGCCAGGAATGTGGTGAATTTTGGAGTTTTGTCTTTAAAGAAATTTCAGAAGGCCCACCTTTACTCCTTCTTCACCTTGTACGGTATGTGTGAAGAAATTATAAAGTGTGATAATCTAGAACCATGACAAAAAAGAAAAGGAAAGGAACTGAGAGAAGAAGAGAATTATGATTATTGTTGATTTCTTCCTTCTGTTTGTATGCAGTGCTAAGAACTTCAGTGAAAATATCTCATTTAAAGTAAATGAGACTATTCAACTCCCTAAGGGTCTTGAAACAACATCAACACAAGGCTATAAAGTAATTGGGGCAATTCTTTCAAATAGAATTGCTATTGTTAGGTGCCCCAATGGCAATCTTGTTTCTTTAGAGGACAGAAAGGTATTGTTTTTTCTACTACATATATTATGTAGAAAGCAAGAATGCATGATTTATTTTAATGTCATCTTTCATTTTTCTTAACAGGCAAAGAGTTTTTCATGGGCAAAATTTTTAGGGGAGGAGACAGGTGGTGCTTGCAAAATTCTAGTCTATCAGCGGATCCTCCCGGAACCAAGTAAATTTTTGATAACTCCTTTGAAGGAGCGTGAGCAGAATAAGCCAGACTTGGCAGTGCATTCCACTTCAAAATGGACAGTAACTCCAATGGTACATTTAATTTAATAAATAATTACCTTAATAAAGTAAAATACATCACACATTTATAATTAAAACATTGACTTAAAAGATACTTTCAAAAAAGTAACACATTTTAAAATGTCAAAACTGGAACAATTTTTTTTTACAATTACAGGGTAGCAACAGTGACAACTTGAGAGAGAAAACACCTCGAGGCATTTTAAAGCCTCGCAGACTGGATGTGGATACGCCTCAAAGTGCGTCCAAATCAGATGATGAGGTGTGTAGCAGTGATGTCCAATCGTATTGTAATGGGTTTAGATCTCTTGGAGTGCGTTGCAGAAAATACTCAGGAATTAGCACTTCCCTGTGGAAAGTAATTTGTGCTGACTTAATCTTTTCCCAATGAGTCTTGTCCAAAGGTACTTCAATTATCATTGTTCCATGTGGGCTCCACACTACTAAGTCAGCGCTTTCATACTCTAATATGCCAAGGTAGTGTTGGATCTGGCTGTAATATTCATGGCCTTTCTTAAGGTAGTCTTTTTGATTACTTTTGTCCCAGCTAACACAAAAAGAATTTCTTTGACTTTTTGTCAAAACATTCCTATAATTTTTGGGGTGATGTTTTCTTAGGATGTAGGGGCATTTCACCTCTACAAGCTTGGGTGGCATTATGCTAGAATACTTTATTGCATCCACACTAGCAGCTCCTTCTGGGTAGTCCTCCCGTTTTATTGATCCATATTCATTCTCTTCTACCCACATTTCCAAAAAAATATTCCAAAAGAGCATCCTCCTCATGCTCAATACCCCAATTTAAAGCTGCTCCACGGGGAGAATCCATACTCCATAAGTGGTTTCTTATGAATGCCTTTCTTGATGCATCAGTGGGAAGGTGCAAAACTGGGTAAGCAGTCTTTCCAGTCATATGGATGCTTCGCAACGCTTTCCATGTGTCACTTTGACTTTGGTCCTTGGTATCAGGCAATTCATAAACGCGAACTAAATTAGCAGTGTACATCACAGTATTGTTACGGTGCGTCTTGTAGGAGGGCATGCTGTTCTTGAAAGATTGACAGAGAGTTGAGAGGTGCTTCAGGGCTATTGGTGTACATCTGTCCTCTTCGTAAGTTAGCTTTAAGTGTTTCTGAAAAAGAGTCTCAACAGGGTTCACTGTAAGTCTTGCCACAAAATTATTAATGTCAGTTTGGGTCAGTGTTGAATTTTGGAGGCCGATGGGTCTTGGGTCAAAGTATGCTCGGCGCTTGACGTCTATTCTGTATGAATCATACTGCTTGTCTCTAACAGGGCCCGGGTCTCTTTTCAGAGAACCTTTGTTCCATGCCTTAGGCAGGGAGGTGCATGTCAGAGCTGAAAGAAAATCCACAAATAGTTAGGAATGACCAAACTTCAATACATGACTTAACTAAACCTTTCATTTTTGTTTTGTTTTACAGGTGCATCAGACAAGCAGTTGCTCTCTTTTATCACCTTTACGTGACCCACGTCATATTCCTGCACATTTAACAAACTATAAAATTTGTGCTAAGTCACCCAACAAATTTAAATTTTTTACTGGATTGTCTGTTGAAAATTTCCAATTTTTTTTGATTTGTTGGGAGGAGATAACAAAATCAAACAACTGAAAATGAAGTACACCCAAAGGACGCCAAAGAAGTTTCTCAATGAAGCAAAAATAACTTCAGAGGACAAATTGTTTATGTTCTTGTTGCGGCTGAGAAGAGGATACCCAGTTGTAGACTTAGCTCATATATTTGGAATTTCTAAGCCGTATTGTGTGAGAGTCTTGTACGTCATGCTTCGGTATCTACATATTACATTAAAGGAATTATCAAAGCATCTGTTCATCAGTGCTAAAGCACTAGAATTCAAGAAGCCCAAACCATTTAAGCCCTTCAAAAACTTAAAAATTATTATTGACGGTTTCGAACTGAACCTTGAGTTCCCATCCAACTTCCAGCAGCAGGGAAATACGTACTCTGAGTACAAGGCACACAATACCGTCCGATTTATTATAGGCATTTCACCTCATGGCACTATTGTGTTTGTAACTCCTGGCTATGAAGGTAATATGTCTGAAAGAAAAGCTTTGGAGGAAAGTGGTTTCTTTGATATGCTGAAACCTGGTGATGTTGTCATGTGTGATAGAGGATTTGAAATTAATAATGAACTTCTTAGAAGAGGAGTTGAGGTGTTAAAGCCTCCTTCTTTGGGTGGACGTAAGAAATTTACTCCTGAGGAAGAAATTTTGACTCGTGCTATTGCATCTGCAAGGATTTATGTTGAACATGCAGTGAGACTAGTGAAAGTGAATCGCCTACTCCGATTCACAGTTCCAGTGTCTATGATCCCAACAATATCTGACTACGCCTATGTGGCAGGTTTCCTTGCAAATTTCGGCACAAAAACATTTCAATCTAAGAAAAAGAAGAATGGTGAATGGAAGTAAATTAAAGATACAGATGAAATGTAGATGATTATTGTTGCCAGCTCTTCAGAAAGTATTATGAAAATGTATGGAAGACATCTGATGATAAGGTGAATGATGTGTCATCATAGTCCTCCTCGTAATAATTATTGTTGTCTTCCAAGCCTTCATTTTCTTCAATATCAGGTATGTCAATCATAATTATGCCATCATCTGCATTTTCTGACACTTCTTCTGCAGAATTCATTAATGCCTCCAGATTAATAAAATTGAGGGTGTGATCATCTTTGCAGTTTCTTTCTTTTTCTTTTGTTGTCAGGTCATTGATTAGTGCAGTTGCATATGCTGAGGGGTAATCTTTTGCACTGGGGTTCCGACGATGCCCACCAAGGGATCTGGTACGCCCATTGAAATTCTCCAGGCAGTCAGAATTGATGTTCCCCGTGGCCATGTACTTGTACCCCTCCCCCTGCAGATCTTGCCACAGCTTAGCTTGTCCGAGCATCGTCATCCTCCACTGCTGAGGAAAGGTGAGTCTTTTTGAGCCTATAAACTCCCAGGACGGCATCTCCCGGTACATATCAGTCCAGAGTGCAATGTGAGGAGAGTCTGGTGTCACAGCTAACTTGTAATTTTCAGGGCCATCAGAGGTGAGCGCAGTGCCATTCATGGAATCGAAGAGATTATTGATCCTTGAACAAAATCGACCATAGATCAAAATATGATTTACCTCACTCAACTTCCGTTTCTGTGATGAATTTTCTTTACTATCTTCAGCTTTCTCATTATCATCAGATTTTGATGTTGTACCTTCTTGATTTTCAGTTGAACTTCGCTGAGTATCAGAGTCATATTTCGAATCAGTCTTACTGTTCGGTCCAACTGATTTTGTTTCCTCCTCATCTGATGATGTGTGTACAGAGACCTGCAATTTTTTAATGTTAGCTTATAAGACAGAACAAAATAGAAAAAGTTTTAATGTTAAAAACTTACCTCATCATTCTCATCATCACATTTCCAAATCAACTCATTCACATCAGCATTACTCAGGCAAAGTATACAATCATCAGAAAGTGATACACGATACGTGTTATTTGAAGTTGATGCAATATCACAATCCAGGAAAATGTCCTTCTAAAAGAAAAGAGAGAAGTTAAGGTAAGATGTCGAACATTGAATGTCTTGATAGAAAAACAGTAGAACAACTACAGTTACCTCGATAAAATGATGAAGTTGTCGCGTTATATTTGCCAAGTTTTCCAAAGACGTAAGAAACGACAAGCCAGATGACAGCTTTATCTCTTTCTAAAATTGAGACAAAGCGATTACATTAGTAAAATTGTAATTGAAATAGAGAAAAAAAGATATCAATCAAATACCAGGGGTGAGGACAGTGGAACACGAGTGGTCTCATCATCAGCAAACATAAAGTCCATTGAAAAGTCAACAAACTGAAAAGACAACAAGAAAACATATAATCAGAAAAACAACAAAAGGTATGCCTAGGCAAATTGTGAATAAGAAAATGCTAAAAAAGATACACTATTTGAAAAAAAAAAAAACTAAGGATATCGCGTGAACAGATTACAAATCAAAAGTAGACATCATGAGCATAAGATAAATGGAGAAACCTCGTTCTTTACATATGCTTGGTATGGTGTAATTTAGATCTGGTGTAAAGGTTAAAGTGTTGAAATAATGACTATCTCTATCAAGATCTATCAAGAAATTTAAACAGAACTGAGAACCCGCCACAAATTGTGCTGCGCTCTTTTGGACCTGAAGTAGAACTACGGCTGCGGCCACGCTCTCCGTAGTTCGCTCTTTAGTCAATAGATGGCGTTTTTCACGCATGCGCTTCATCAACTTCGTCGACTTAGAAACTCTTCCCGACTGCTGAGGACAGGTAAACGTCATAGGGAGTGTGATTGTCACACAAATCGGGGTTCTGTGTTTCCCGTCGAACGGGGATTGCTGTTGCTCTGCTAATGGGCGGTCTCGTGGAGGGAGGAACGGTGGCAAGACCTCCGCAGAGGGTCCTCATTACGTCGTCAACTCGGGCCCCGCACGCTGCGCTATGATTGTATCGGCAATGGGCGGCTCCGTCGGTCAGCCTAACATCTGGTCTCACAGAAGCAGGGAGTAGCGAACCCTCCGGACCCCGCAGGGCTCCGGCAAGCCCCCTAGGGTCGGGCGACACACATGCGCGGCAGCGCTGCACCAGAGTACGCCCGGAGGCGCTGCCGAACATCGTCCGAACAACCGTCGAGGTGCATTCGGCTTTTATCTAGCCACAGACTGAGTCAAGACGGAAAAAAAAGCAAAAAAACAAACCTTTGGCGACCTAGCGTTTGAAAATGACATTCTGTAACATTTCGCGAGAGGTACACCGTTTTCGGCACCCTCAGCGGGCAGGCGCAAAAGGGCAGAAACAGGAGTAGCTGTGAATGAAGGAAGGGGAGACAGCACAAGGAGTACATTGAGCACAGTCGGACGAGTACAAGCAGAGCCAGCACTGCGACCAGGAGTCTATGTTGGTGGAGAACACAGAGACACCACTAGGGTTGTAAGGAACCACCTCGGACGCGTGGCGAAGGAGCGCCAAGGAGTAGGAAATAACACGTCTTGAGAAGAACGCCTGACCTGGCTAATGGGTAAGCGATACCCTTACGAGGGAAAACGGTGGCCATCTACGTAATGCAGACAGTTATCACCCTTGCATTTTACAGTGTGAAAAGTGTAAATGAATGGTAAAGAAGACGAAGCACGTAAAAAACACAAATTATCGCTAACTAAATCGTGATAGCTATGTTGGCAAAACGCTGCACAGCTGGACTTAGGCATACCCGCGCAATTATGAGGTGAATGGGCGGCCTATCAGGTAGGCGCTTAATGGTGTGAGAATACAATACCCAACCCTACACTTCATTATGTAAAAGATAAACAAAACCATTCGTTCGAAACATCAAACACTTACCAGATCATCTTGAGGTTCAGCCTCAGCCATGTTGGGATAAATTTGAATAACCAGAACTATAAAATACTGAAGAATTTAGAGATATCACGGAAATAACTTGACGGTAATTTAGAAATGGTAGCAACGAGCTGGACTGTTGTGAAAATGGTAACTAGGAGAACAAGACAATGACACGCAGTTGAAAATCAGATTCGGTTTAATATTGAGATTCACAATTGACGATCAAGCATTAAGGGGGCAGACCTGTGAAACGCAAGGGTTTGGGAAAATACTCACTACAAGAAAACGAAGAATCGTAGCCCTTTCAGCGATAGATATTTAGAAAGAGCAAGGATTAAGCTACGTTTTGAT